GCATCCGGATTGCATGGAAAGCTTTGTTGATCAGTACAAAAAAAATGGCGATTGGGGAAGAGGAAGAAGAACTGGATCTTGATGAAGCTGATATTGAGGACTCTCCGATAAGGGAAAACTATCCGGGGTTTCCGGTTGTGGGAGTCTTGCTGACAGATAGGAAGGTCAAATTTCCAGGCTTTAAACAACTCATGTCATCGCTTTGGAGGCCAGAGAAGGGAATTTCTGTTAAAGAAGTTGGTGATAAGAGATACCTTTTTACTTTTTATCATCGTGTTGATATGAAACGGGTGCTAGATGGTGGTCCTTGGCAATTTGAGCATAATTTGTTGATTTTGAAAGAAGTTAAGCCAGATGATATTCCGCATAAAATTATTTTAAATAAGGCTGAGTTTTGAGTTCAAGTTCATAATGCACCCTACAGCCTAGTGAATTTAGGTACTGCCAGTCGGGTTGGTAACTTTATTGGAAAATTTATAAGATATGATGATAATCAGTATAGTGAAAAGTGGGAATCTTATATAAGAATCGGGGTAAGTTTGAATGTGGAAAAAACTTTGAAAAAGGGCACCAACTTTAAATTTGAAAAAACTTTAAGAAAGAAGGAAGGAGTTATTGGGTGGATTTTAAGTATGAAAAGTTGCCCAACTTCTGTTTTATCAGCGGTTTAATAGGATTCAGATAAATTTTGCCCTCTGACTTATGAAGAGGATCTAGTTATGGTGAAAAAGAACTGGGGTCCAGCTTAGAGTGGGTAGTGAGGTGAAGACTAGTTCGACAGGAGGAAGTAAATGGTTGGTGGACGGTTCATCGAGCTCTAACAGAGGCCGCAGAAATATGGGGGATAATAAGTCTGATGGTGGAATGGGAGGAGGGGGAAGGAATCTATCTCAGAAACAGCGCAGAGCACAACTAAAGGCGTGGAAATTGAAACAAAGGAGGAGGCATCGGGGGAACAAAAACGAAGACGGATTTGGGACAGCCAAGGAGAGGACAAGCTTGTGGAAGATCACATGGCACTTGATGGGACAAAAAAATAGGGAAGGGGCGGGCTTCGACCAGTAAGCCCGCCAGAGCTGCTTCAGTCAGGATCCCGACAAAGGTTATGGGTGTTTGTGCTGTTCGGCAGGCTGGGACAGGAGTTTTACATTTTTAGTATTTCTTTTTCTGTGGAGACAATTTTATTTGTTTTGTGGTTTTTATGTCTTTGTTTTTCCCTGCTGTAAGACTGTGGATTTGGATGTGGGTGATTGAAGGATTGAGGTAACCGTCTTTGGCTCAATTTTGCCCATTAATGGATCAGCGAGTTATATTGCTTCTTCTGTGGTGATTAACTCTGAGTCTAGTTCGAGGGACGACGGTTGTCCAGAATCTTTTTGTAGGATTATCTACAATCTGAATGATGTGTTATCAATTTAAGCCTATTTCTTCCACACACAAAAATACTCACTTTATCTCACAAATTTTTCTCAAATGTCCTAATTTAGCAGTCTCAAAACCATTCTCATTATAATTAATAAATACTACATATATGATTAAAGTTCTTTCTCTCATTTTCACAAATCTCAACCATATATAACTCTTAATTACCCCAAAGAACTTTGTAATCTCATAAAATTTGGAACATGATTTTGATTTTAGTATAATATTGAGGAACTTACAAATTTTAAACTTATATGAAAGTAGTTATAAGAAAGAATATTTTTATATCATTTTTATATTATAAATAATTTCCAAAAAATATACAGTTGGTCAAAATTTCAAAGATGATAAAGCTTTTTGAAACAGAGGTAGTATGTAGGGGAATAATTTGTTAGCGGAATAGTCAAACTGTTTTTTGACATATCAGACTTATCAGCCAACTTTTTCACCAAACATGTAACTTTTGATTTCGCGCTCTGAAATGTGTAATAATAAGAAAAAGTAAGGTTGAAGTTACTCTTATGACTTTATTGGATGAAGTTACTTTTATATAATTTTTGTATTAATAAAATATATTTTAAGTATAATTATTTCATAAATCATTCAATCCAACCAATTCAGTCAGAAGTACATAAATTTCAGCAAAATCAACTTATTCAGTCGAATTTGATATTGCCAGACGGGTTCTAATAAGTTTTTTACGACTGGGAGTACAACTTTTTCAGGGGAAGACATCAATTTATTATTGTAAGGAGAATAGTTCGTACAAATTCAATATCAAAAGACAAAAGCCCTATAAATAGGGAGATATTAGGGTTTCTAGAAACGGATCAATGGGCCCATAATACATAGTCTATATAGAATGATTTTAATTTCATATTCTATATAAACGATAGCATACTACATAGAATTTCCTTCAACATTCCCCCTTGTGCTGAGTTGTAGCTAAAATTTAGTATCAGTCTTGTTGTCTCGTCAAAACCTCGCCAGGTAACAAAAATTCCTGTGAGAAAAATAATCTTGGCTAGAGGAAAAGAGTGCAACATTATGTTATACTTCTTTCATTAAGTCTATCCTTATCGGATCATTAATTGCTTCGATCAATAAAGTTCATATGTATCATTATCTCATTAAAATCCTTACCAAGTAACAAAACCCAGTGAGAAAAATAAAACTTGGTTAAAGGAAAAGAGTGTAACATAGTGTATATGGGGAGACTCCTCCTCATGTCTACACCTATCCTTAATAATATTTACATTAATCAAGAATATTTGAAAAGTCTATGCAATCCAATAATTCTTACGTTAATTACCATGTGTGCCAAATATAAGGTGATAAATGTAAGAATTATTCATTTGCTAAAAACTTTGCCAGTAAACAAAATCAATGGGAAAAATAAACATCAGCCAAAGGAAAAAAGAAGTATGATGCACTAATAACCACACATCAATTACTTTTGATTGTGATATCTTTATCATGTTCTTCCTTTAACATTGTTTGCTTTTACAAAATTAAATTGTGGGATGGTGCATATTATGTTGTCACATTAAGAATCTTGCCAAGTAACAAAATCTAATGGAAAAAATAAACCCTGTTAGAACAGAAAAAGAGTACATTGCACCAATATAACTGATGACAAATAAGTATGCCAAGACTCTCCCAAGAGCAATACATCAATAAGATATAAACATTTACTTGATATTTACTTTTTTCAAGGTATTTTGTACATATTGTCATGGTTTCTTTCATGATACATATATAATCTTTTAAGAAAATATTAATGAGGTCAGAGGATATCCATCATCGGTATAACTCGATCAAATCACATTACTTTGTGTTAGAGCGATACTTTTGACATTTCTAACTCATTTAGGGATACCATTGATAGCTTCCCGGTAAACCGCTAGTGATATATATAACCTTAGAGAGAAGGGAGAGCGAATATTAGAGAGAGAAAGAGCTTGCAATAAATGAATTGGGAACCATCTACGACCACCCCCAAGGGGGATATTTATAGAGGGAATATGTTTTGGGCTCCCAGGTCTTGGGCCTGAGAGGCCCAATTACAATAATGGGTCGCTAGTGGACTGTTTATATGTGTTCTGATCCGCTAAGGAAATAATGACGATATGCGCTGGTGATGGGGCCGCGGCCGAGGTGTGGATGACGAGGTGATGATAGAGACAGAAAACTCATCTCTTCATTCTGGGTTAGGCTCTCTGGTGCTGTCATGGAATTGGGTCGTCCGTATGTCCAAGAGTATGTGGGTCGAGGGTTCGGGCCCATATACTCTATCAACCATCAATCATTTAATTCAATTTATAAGGGATGCATGGAGATTATGCAAAATGGTTTCATGTAGATATCAAAGTCCGTTCTTGATATCATTCCAATGATGGTGTACATTGTGTTGGTCCTGAGCTATTTTCAACTCACGCGCTCTTGAGATTTTCATGTTCGGCCGAGCGTGTTTGTCAAAGTACAATAATGCGCATACTTCATCTATATAGGGAATTTCTTCTCCCAATAATTCTTCAATAATGAATCTTTGATTATATCCATATTTCAACCAACCATGAGAGTGCTAACAATTTGCATTTTATTCGTATTAATTTGCCAACCAATTCGGTGTTTTAAAAAAAGACCCGAATTTTCCAATATCCTTTATCTCAATTACGATTTTCAAATTCTAATATTTCTCATTTTTTAATCTGAGTACATATGTCTATATGTTAGACATACCACGATACTTGGAGGGCAAACATGATCTATCATTTTCTATCCCTTCTCAATCTAATGATCACTTAAAGGGTATGTCACTTCTCTTGATTGGTTTAATCCAAAACTAAACAATTCAATATAATGGAATTAAGTGATTTAGGATCAGTTGATTTGAGATGATAAAAATATAACAAATGCTTAAAATGCATCTCTTAGATGAGATTCTATTAAGACATTTGGTGACCAAAATCTTTACTTATGTCTCCATCACCTTGAATGCTACTTAGAGATTAAGTAGCTAAACATTTTTGTGTTCATATTAGAGAAGTATAACCTCTTATATTTGAATCCAGGGCATTGTGAGAATAATCAGGACCTCATTATCTCAATACGCTTTCTAATATATTAATACTAAAAATGCATTTTCCAATTATATCACAAATATATTATCACATTGATCATCTTATCTTCAAGGATTACTTCAAAATATATATTTTCATATTTTATTTAGAAATTTCTTTATCCAAATAGCTCTTGGGAGATTTCTTTGCTCCAAAGTCCAAACACCATTCTTATTACATTTAAGTAAAAAACAATAAATTTCATTTACTAGTGCAAGCTAAAAGCTTTTTAGTGATATAACTTTTTGTTTCATATTGCTTCATCAGTATACATCTAGAAAAGTATGCATAATAAATGGACAATTTATTTCTATCAAATAAGTTTTTGAGATTTACTTTTCATAGAAAGTGCCGTAATAGCATTTAATTATAAAATCGTGTTGATAACGTGCTGTAGAGAGAACCGTTTGTATAATATCATTGTCAAAAGCTCTACAAATAGAGAGATATTATGTTTGAAAAACGAATCAATGGGCTCACAAATTCCCATAATACATCATGTATGTAGAATGATCCATAGAATTTTCTTCAATATTTATCGTTTTATTCCAAACAAATTTGGCGGACTGGCCAAATCAGTTCTTTTCCTAACTGAGTACGTATCTCTTTATTTGCACAAAAATTTTGCACTACAGTCTACAAAGTTTAATGCGACTATTGAGCTTTGTCTTGCATGCGCTTGTAGTGCTCGTGGAGGCCCCGATTTCGATTGACGCGAACTTGAAAATATATCATTGCATTTCATGTGATTGAAGGTCGGCAATTGGCAAACCGCCCTTGATAATCGTCGAGACTAGGAAAAATCCGAGATTAAAATCTTGTTTTGTTTTTATTCAGTGTTCGCAGCTCTATGATCTGCAAAGATGTGGAGGCGGCTTGCTGAACTCTCTGGGCGCTTTTGTTCATCATTTAAACCTTCCCATCTCCAGGTTCTTACAATTCAATATCCGGAATCTCAATTCCCATATAAAGTTTTTGACCTTTTTCAGTCAAAGATGATTGATCTTTCCTGTTGATAGATCCGACCAGCTAATGGGATAACTAATTGGAAAGAGCTTTGTTCAGATGCTCCCAAACAGGTAATTCCTCCACAAGTATATGTCATTAGTATAAAAGCGCGCACTTTATTCGAAAACCTAAACACTTTGCTTTATGTTGTATAGGCAGTAGGTGGAACCTCTACTCGAAAAACAATCCCATTCATAGCTTTTATTCTAGGTAATTTACAGTTTAAACTGATGGTTTTGGGTGTTAGTTACTTCAATAAATAAGTGTGTAAAGTACTGTATTTCTTTACTTCGGGCTACTGGGTTAAGTCATTCTGATTGCTCTTGTATTTGGTTTAGTTATGATGGTGTGTGTATGCTATCTGAGTTCTGAAAACTTATCTTCTTTTAGAGCATTAAATCTATCCTGAGTCCTTATTTGTGTCCCATCCTTTCTATCTCGATCTGCCCTAAAAGTTTTTCTTTCCTAGCAAATGTTGAGCTTTATTATCTTCAAGCCTTTTAGCTGGGTTTCGTCTTTATCACCTTCGGTAATTGCTCTATTATTTTCATTTGGGTGTCAGTATGCACCACTCTTTGGTGATGTCTAGGGGTGAGGTAAGCTGGCTGAGCCTTATTTATGAAAGCCCTGAGCGTTGGTCTGGCCTATTTCTACTCTTAGTCATGTTAAATAGATTTTTTCCCTTCCACTAGTACCTACTAAGGTCCTTGTACTCCGTATCATTTTTGACTTCTTTTTTAGGTATAAAAATTAAATATTGTGAAATTTTATGTTGCATGTAAAGCTGTTGAGATCTTCTAGGTGCGATGCTGATATTGTTTTCTTTCAGGAGGACCGGGGAGTGGAAAAGGCACTCAATGCATGAAAATTGTTGACACCTATGGGTTCACACACATAAGTGCTGGGGAACTATTGAGGAAAGAAATGGATTCCAATAGTGAATGCAGGTATGCAACAGTCAGGGCCGAACCTCTTGTTGAGGCAAAGAGGCAATTGCCTCAGGCCCCAAAATTTTACTAAAAATTATGGGCCCATAAATAATTGTTTACTAGTATTATATATACACAATTTTTGTATTTCATATTAAAATAGCAAGAATACAAATATTATTAATCAAAATAATATCATGCAGTATGTGTGTTTTAATTTTTTGATGTTGGCATATAAATTAAATTACTGCTTATGAATCTTATATCCAAATTTTACATTACTCAAGGGCCTTTTACAAAAAACCGACTCGGGTCAAAAAATGTTAGGATCGGCCCTGGCAACAGTAAGACTTAAATATCGTAAGTACTGTATCATATTTATCCTGTTCAATACAAATTAACTCTCCCTTTCTGATTCAATATTATACAGTGCTATGATTCGAAAGATTATGAATGAAGGAAAAATTGCTCCATCAGCTGTGACTATCAAGTTACTTAAAAAGGCTATTGAATCAGGTGAAAATGATCGGTTTCTCATAGATGGTTTTCCCAGAAGCGAAGAGAACCGCATAGCATATGAACAAAGTGTTAGTTCCTTTTTTCCTAGTGAGATTTATTTTGGCATCAATTTCTATTCCTTTTGTAAATAGATTACTAGTTGTATGGAGTATTTCATAACATGGATATCAATGTCCCTGTTAACTTCAAGTTTCTTTCTTCCAGTTTGCCAGTTCTACTAAATCAAAATGAAAATAACACCCTTCTAATTTTACAGATTGGTCGTGAACCAAACTTTGTGCTTTTCTTTGACTGTCCTGAAGAAGTGATGATCAAAAGAGTACTAAACCGTAACGAGGTATTCTCTCTATCTGTGTGGGCGAGTATTATTTCTTTTGTACCATCCTTGTTTTCAAAAAAGAAATATGAACTAAGGAATCATTTTTTCAGGGACGACTCGACGACAATGAAGATACCATAAGGGCACGTCTCAAGACATTCAGAGCTATTACTTTTCCTGTAATTGAGTACTATGCCAAAAAGGGAAAGCTTTACAAGGTAGTGAGTTTAAGAATAATGTATGCTTGCATGAGTTCACATCTAGTGCATGTCCTGTTTTTAAGTTCTCAATTCAAAGACATATGTCTGTGGATTAAGTTTTTATAATTTTATTCACAACTGTTTCATCAAGGTTGATGGTACTGGAACAGAAGATGAGATCTTTGAACGAGTCCGTCCCATTTTTTCTGCATTTAGGTAAATAATACTCCATCCATCCTTAAATAACTTCATATTTTTCTTTTTGGCCTGTCACAAACAGCCCCCCCCTACATTTTATAAGGAGTCAATGAAAAAGAAATTTCTCTTAACATTTTTTAAATTGAGGTTTTCTATCATTTTCAATGGAGCCAAAGACTCACTATTTTTTGGTTTGGGAATACGATGTAATAAAGCAAAAGCAAAATGGCTCACTAAATTGTCTGCGCTTCTTTGTTATGAAGCATCAGTCATTCTATGTAATTTTCGATGTGATTTTCACTATGAGTACATGGGTAAGATTGTGTACATCCGACCCCCTTACCCCACTGTAGGTGGGAGCCTTTGTGGCATTGGGGTAATGATGATGATGATGACAAAGAAGCTACAAAGATAGTACAGACGTCCCATCCAACTTCACATTAGCAGTCCTAATAATTTGCATTCATCTTTGTTAAGAGCTTGTGCCTCCATCTCCGTAGTAGATACGCTGGAAGGGGGTAGCAGGAGCGAGCAGATCGACGGAACTGCTTGTTCCTCAATCTCCATTTCGCTGGAAAAATAAAAATCAGGGTAAAGAGCATGGTAAAAATGGAAGTAAAAACGGTGAAGGACAACTATAAGAACATTTGATCTGAAATGGTGTCATTTGAAATAAATAAAGAAGATAAAATGGGGAAGAAGATGAGATGGGGAAAAAGCTGTTGCCCGTGAAGATTAGGAAAGAGAGATATAAATTGGGATAGGGTAGATTAAAGATGGCAAGTGTGAATTAAGTAGGAGAAACAAATGAGTTTCGAGTACGGATATTAAAGTCATTGTAGGTATTCTTTTTTTACCTAAAAGAGTAATGTTGCAATTATTTTGAAACTGCCAAAAAAGGAAAGTGTTGCAATTAAAAAAAACGGAGGAAATTTACTTTAAAGATTCCGGTCTCCCTCAGTGCTTTGTACACTATATGTTGTATTTTTAATGATATCCGTTATGTAATTTCTATTTTCCCTACCACACTCCCATGAACTCATTTGAACTGAAAACACTGCAAAATGCAGCGGTTTGAAATGACATTTCCACCAAAATGCTGAACAGCAAACTAAGCCTATATGTTTGAACATTTTTATAATCTACATAAAGTTTCTTCATTCTTTGTCATTATCAATGATTGCAAAATTCTTGTACAAACAATTATGGAGATGAATATAAAACTAAATTTATTTCTCTAATAAGATTATAATTTTTCAATGAGACTGTTTGCCCCGCCTCAACAAAGAATGTATGTTTCTTCCCCTGGTCCCAAAATAATCTTCATTTTCCTATTTAGGAATGAAATGTGTGGTTGATGCATACTGGTACAGCAAAGACTCAGAGATATTTGAACGAGTCTGCCCCATTTCCCATCATTTAGGTAAATAAATACTTCACAATACAGAGTAAATATGACTACATATTATAGCATTGATGACATGTTTTCTAGTCATGGCTTATCACTCTTGCCAATTGCTTTACATTCTCACATATATAGTACAGTAGTTAGCAATTGAATGTGTTTACTGGTCAGTGGCGTAGCAAGGTGTATATACTGGGCTGAGCTTGGCCGGGCCGGTAAAAAGATTTTTTCTGGATAAAGTTTTCTGGATTTTATAAGTTTGGGGTTAACTGGGGCCTCCGCCCATGAATGTGGTCTGCTTTTAATGCCTTTTTATTTAATATCAATTTTGTTTGAAAGATGTTTTTTCATGAGATTTACTCCATCCTATTTATGACATGTAATCCATCTTCTTCAACATTTTCTCATGATTTGCTCCATCCTGTCTATTTGAACTTTGAAGGATGTTTTTCATTCAATGGATTGCATGTTTATCATCATAAGTGTGGTAAATTAATTAATTCTGTTTTTTACTTTGCAGGTAAACTGGTAGAGCGTGATAACTTGGTCATCTTCGGAAGCAGATGACTTTTACAATAATAAACGATTCATGATCACATACAACTCTGTTTCTTTCCCTTCTTTACTGCGTTTTCCTTCAATGGAGATGAGGGTTGTAACATCAGACTGTTCTATAGATACAATATCTTTCACTCATCTTATGACCTTATGTCCAGCCCACGTCTTTTAAAATATCTGGATGCTTAATAGATGGCTTTCACTCAGACTTTTCTATAGATACAATTGCTTGCCACTGGAGCTTATTGTAAAGGTCTCTTTTTAAGCATTTGGAGATAAATTTAATAAAGTAAGTTCAATTTCTTAGATGCCAGTAGGGCTGGACTCGGTTCGGGCCCGGGCCGGGCCTAGGCCCGGTCGGGCCTCCGGTTCTATAAAGGGTGGCCCGGAACCGGCCCGTCCTTTGCCTGGTGCCGGTTCGGGCCGGGTCACCCGCCGGGCCAGCTGCCAGGTTGGGTCGGGCCTAGGTTATTTTTTTTTAATCTTTTTAATACAACTTCAATATGAAATACATTTTTCCAAAATACTAATACAATAAATTCTAAATTGTAAGTTGTAAGTTTGTAACCAATTAATTTGAGAAGTGCTACATATAAAAAAGAATGTATATTTATTTGAAATATGAAATACAACTTTACAAACTAGAATAGAGAATTGAAGGAAAAATTAAAACATGAAATACATTTTATAATAAACTGTAAAATATTAATCAATCGGAATCTCCGGCATAGGAGCCATCCTCGGTTGTTGATTCATCCATAAATTCTTGAAAAGGGGTGATGTTAACTTCTTGACATCTACGTATGGCCTTCAACCAATTGTGGTAGCATATAAGCGTCTCAAGAGACTCAGCGCTCAAACTCGTTCTAGATGCCGTTAGAACGTTGCCGGCCGAACTAAATTCTTGTTCCACGGCAACTGTTGAAACCGGCATTGATAGCACTTGCTTAGCCATCCGTGCCAAAATCGGGAACATTCTTTCTTTTGACTTCCATCACTTTAGAACGTCAAATTCCTCATTTTCGTCAAATTCTACCTCATAATTTATATACAAAGAAATCTCATTAAGTGCGTTTTGTTCAGTAGTGTGAGTTGTTTTAGATTTTTTCATAAGATTGCCAAAAGCAGATTTAAAAAGTGATTTTCCTTTAGATGAAGATGTGTGTGTCGGGGAGGGGGCGTGTTGCCATATTGTGCACGAAACTCATTAAATAAGGTATAAAATAAATTACTAACCTCGTTGTATTCAACTTGCGGATCTATGGCGTTATCATCATACATTGGAAATGGACCAAAAAAGCATTATAATAGAACTTCAAACATTCTTCCAAATTACCAAGTCTATAACGAGGATCGAGAATAAATGCAATACTATAAATATGCGGAATATGTGCATAATATTTTAAAAACTTTTCCTTCATAAAACCACAAAAATAACTCACGTAAGCGGCATTCTCAAATTCATTAAAAGCACCGGCGAGATTAAAAACTTCACGAATAAATTATATGAATTGTGACCTTGCTACGGAGCTGGAAATCCTAACTAGGATGAATGCGCGTTTGAGGTAGGTTTATAAACATGACTAAAACTTTCAGTTGCATTATTAAAATATATCAAAACATTACAATTTTTTTCGCAAGTGTCGATGTGAGCGGGGTTTAAAATATAGTTATCATACTGTCTTAAAAAAGTAGGAAAATGTTCTTTATATCTAAGAAGAACTTTAATTAATTTATAAGTACTATTCCACCGAATAGACAAATCTTTAGGGAAAGCAACATATTTTACACCTCTTTCAATCAAATAATTTTGCCATTTTAATTTAAGTTGACCATTGCCCCAAATACGTCTAATCCCCCACTTGACTACCTCCATAGCATCTCCTAACGCTTTTATACCGTCTTGCACACATAAATTTATAATATGGCATCCACATCGTTGATGAAAAATCTACTCATCAAAGTATTAGAACCACATAATTCATGCAATCTAGGTATATCAGCTGTATTATTAGTAGAATTATCAAAACCTATAGCAAACACCTTATCAATCAAATTATACTCAGTTAAAATACGTTCAATCAAAATATAAATATGTTCAGCGGTGCGACGATCATTAAATTCACGAAAAGCAAGAACACGTTTATAAATAGTTGTTGTAGTTGCTCGTCGGACATCGCATCCCCATCTCGCCTTTGGTATCCGTCATCAAAATCTTCTCGACTTTGAGAAGAAGACCCAGCCCGCCCTTTGCCTTTGCGTAAACTAGGATGACTTGTCGCAATCTCCTTCTTTCGGTTGCGTTGGAGACTACCCACACCTACGGAATGTCTGGCACGGTCCATCTTTAAAATGTAATGAATATTATATGATATCAAATGTTTTAATATGAGTATAATAGTAATAATAAAATGCGACTAATAAAATTGACTACTTTTATTAGTTTATACTTTAATGCAACAATTAATAATTAACTATTTTTTTTACTTTTATGATGAATGCAACAATTAACAAATTAAATAATAGGGAAATGAAAAATGTAACTATTAACTAGTTTTATACTTGAATGAAAAATGTAACAATTAGCTAGTTTTATACTTGAATGAAAAATGTAACAATTAACTAGTTTTATACTTGAATGAAAAATGTAACTATTAACTAGTTTTATACTTGAATGAAAAATGTAACAATTAACTAGTTGTTTACTTTAATGAAAAATGTAACAATTAACTAGTTTTATACTTTAATGAAAAATGTAACAATTAACTACTTTAATACTTTAATGAAAAATGTAACAATTAACTAATACGATGAATTTAATTACTATGAATTCAAGTGTAACTAATATAATTGTATAACTAATATATAATATAATGTTTATAGTATATAATATATAAGTATATTACTATAAGATGAGTAATACACTTATATATAATACTTTAATATATATAAGTAGATAATAGGTAGAGATTAAGTAGATAAGGAATATAAGTAATATAATATATGTATGTAAAGTAGATAATTAATAATTTAATATATAAGTAAATAACAATAAGTATAGATGATAAGTAGATATCAAAGTAAATATTAAGAAGATAATAAATATTAGTAATGTAATATAGGTATATAAGTAGATAATTAATATATAAGTAGATATAATAATTATATAAATAATATATATATGTAGAGAGGTTTGGAGAAGATGAAGATGGAGATGATTAAGATTTAAGAGTATGAGGGAATAGAGAATTAGAGAGTAGGAAGAGTTGGAGAAGAGGTGTAAAAAATGTATAGAAAATAGGAGTATAAATAGGTTTTTTTTTATCCTCACTCCCACCCACCCCCAAAACCCCTGGACCCCCCCCTCCCACCCCCTCCAACGGCTATAAAGCCGTTTGGGAGGTCTCACAACGGCTGGATGCCCCCAAATAATTTTAAAACAATTTTTTTTAAAAAAAAAAGAGCCGTTAGGCCCAAACCAGGCCCGGCCGGTTCACCATTTGAAGGGCCCGAGACCGAACCGCTAGACTACCGGGTCGACCCGAACCGCCCCCGACCGGTTCCCGGGCCGGGCCGAGCCGGTTCAAACAGTAACCGGGCCGGGCCAGGCCGGTTCAAACAGTAACCGGGCCGGGCCGGGCCGGTTCAAACAGTAACCGGGCCGGGCCGGGTCGGTTCCGGGGCAGGCCACCCGACCCGAGTCCAGGCCTAGATGCCAGTATGCCATTGGCATTGTTAAGGGGGTTTAGACTTTAGATGGAGTACAACACTTTTTAGAATCCGATGAGTACTCTTCTCTACTCTCTAGCATTCCTTGAAACTTTGTTAATTTTGACCAATTCAAAAAATAATAAAGTAAATTGTGTAATTGAGACTTGTAGAGTGTAGAGAGAAATATCAGAAAACAAATATTTATAACTCCCCCAAGTGGGCCACTGGGTCCTTGGTGATAAAATCAGAAATATTTACATTTAAATTATGAGCCATATTTTTTGAAATATATATTTAGTATGATAAAGATTAGGCCATTGATGTATTGGATAAAACCATAAAAGAATTTTTGGATCTAATTCCGTGTACGGAAGTACGGAACTAAGGACATCCTCCCTTAGTGTAAAAGCTCATATTGGATGATGATTACAAATTTACAATGCCTCCCTAATATCAAGAATTTTTCTTATGAAATTGGAGCATAACAATGAAGAAGCAAAAAGTGGGGTGAGGTGGACATCAAACTTTGAAAACTCGGAAGGAGTCGACCACAGTATGCAGTCTATCTTTCATCTTCTGCCATCTCCTTTCATTAGCCCCGGTGGTCATGGTGTAAAACTTTCCTGCAATATCAATTCTGTTTTCAGCGGACAAAGCATGGAAGACCCAAAAGTACCTCGTAATTCTTTTTAAGCTGACATTTTAGACAAATGATAGGTCAAGGTGTGCACTGTTCACCTACCCTATCTTTCTTATTGCATATTCTTGTTTGAATCATATTAAAACCACCCAGATTTTCAGATTAGATCATTAGACCGGACCAGAAAGATGTAGACCAGATCGTCAAAAACTGAGTTATTATATGTTACCATTGCCAATGCAAACTGAAGCGAGCGCATGACGTGTGAAGTTTGGTGCTTGCGTAATAAACTCAAATGTGTAGTAGGTTTTCCCCTCTATATCATGCTGTAATATAAACAAAAAAAAATCATTAGCAAGGTCATAGACTTTTGACAAATTGTGGCATGCATGTCAACAAATGCATCTCAATGCAATCACATATATATGAAAAAAATTGCATATAAAGGTGCTCAAATATACTACTTCAAAAAAAAGGTGGTCAAATATACAACCTCTGTGGCCTCGATGAGTTTTGACTTCTGAGAAGATGAAGCCAGAGCCTTTTTCAATAAATTTTCAGCAACCTATAACATTGTTTTTATTAAAGAATATTAGCAAGACCTCATACTGATGGTTCTCCATCATAAAAACTCCTCCTCACCTCTTGTGCGGAACCAAAGTCTCGAATATCTTGTTTAGTAGTGGGGATCACATTCACACTCACATTTTCTAGTGGTTCAATAACATCTTTGAAAACTTTGTCCTGTCCTTCAACAACCACCTCCTGATTGAAAAGAAATATAAATAAACATGTAATTACAAAGGAAAATTGATAGGAGCAATTGGAGTTTGGACCCACTTTTTCATTCAAATGTGAGTTTACAACTTTACACCCCATTTTTAAAGAACTATAATATTTGCACTTCA